TTTGTTAATTTTCGTAGAATTAAATAGATAATAAATAAATAAAGAATAAATTAAAATATTTCACTTGTTAATTTAATTAACTTATTTTATATTAATTTAATGTATAATTTAATGTAATAATTTAATGTATAATTCATTTCCGTTAGTCTATCTAAATTTATCTGTTCAATGCTATTGAATTGATCGATATCCCAATTGTTTCAGCATCGAATACAATTTGATGACACGGCTACCCGTACCTTCGAATATCCAAGCGAAGCATCGATGCTGGAGGGTGAGAGCAGTGTGGATGGTGAAACTTCCGGTTCCGTCGAGCAATCAACTCCGATCAGTAATAAAACGTCCTCGACCAATTCGGCTACCAGCATGTCAACCCTACTCGGTAATTTTAATCATTCTTTTCCGTTAAAACGAACCTCTATATTTTTATTTCCCTTTCTTTTACTTTTTATTTTTTTATTCAGATTCGAAATTTATAATTACATTTTATCCAAATCTATAACTAAAGTTATTTTCGTGTTTTTCTTTTTTTTTTTTTTTTTTTTTTTTTTTAGATTGGAAATTTTTAATTGATTTTTTACCAAAATTAAAACAAAAATTTTTTTGGGGTTTTTTTTTTTTTTTTTTTTTTTTTTTTTTTAACAGAAATAACACCATTGTTACACCATGAATATTGAATATTCTACAAACAGCCATGGAAAATTTGAATTCCTCTTAAATGTTTAATCTGAAAAGGTCCTATGAAAAATTTTTTAATGTAAACTAATTCTATATATAGTTTCTAAAAGCATTAAAATATAGTCAAAAGTGTAAGGCTTTTCTAAGCATTGTTGCTTAGAATTTCCAAGTATGGATCTAACAAGAATTTTATCTCAACATTTTGCAGTTAATTAGAAAAATCTTCAGTTTATGCAAGTTCAATATTGGCGAAACATTAGAATAAAATTTCTATTGTACATATCCGAATTTTCTATTCAAACATAAATTTTTCATTACTTTCATCGATTTCATATTTCATTATCATGATTTTGAAAGAAAAAATATATATATATATTTTTCATCCTTTACTGTATATGTCGCACATGTTTCTCTCTAATTTATAACGATGCGTAGCATATTGAAAACTAATGTTTGTTTCCTGCAGGTGGTAGTGGTGGCCTAGCCAATTACACTCCTAGCAAAGTCGATTTGACGTCAGAAGGATTCGAATTGGGTGTAACCAGAGCGATGTCTTCGAACTTGGTGGCAACTTCGACATCATCGTCCCCGATAACCACAACAACATCTCAATTAGAGAACGAAACCGAAGTGGATTACCTGAAACCAGCTCAAGACGCGGGTGCATGGGGTTCTGAAACAACCGGTGATCTGCTCTACTGACGCGACTGAAAAAAGCCGAGGAAAATACGCGTGAAGCGAGAAATATATTGCTAAAAGCTCAAAGCTCTCGAATTAGAGCGAGGAATCTAAAAATTCCGACTAACTACTCAGAAGACTAATTACAAAAAAAAAAAAAAAGAAAAAAAAGAATTTTTCTTTCCTTTTTTTCGTAGGGACGAAAGGAAGAGTCTTTTATAGAGAAGCGAATGATTATTATAGGAAAAGAAAAGAAAAATAATGTTCGAGGTTTTTTCGAGCGCTCTCGAACGAACGTCAACGTGACGATTGCTCACCTTACCATTATAAGAGAAACTGTAACTTTTCAAGAAATGCATCACGCGACGTGTTCACGATCGAGATAAATTATATTTACATAGGATAGTTCGGTATCATAAGAACTATGCGCAATACTCTTTCAATACAAAGGATGAATCAAAAAAAAAAGGGGGGGCAAAAAAGGAAAATATAAGAATCCATTCGTGAACGCGTCGAAAGAGAAGCAATCCTTTCTTAGATAATTAAGCTGGAAAAATAATCCAGCATCATTCCAAGTATATGCATTTACTTTGTATTATTACGATTATTAACGAAGTGAACAGACTTTTCCTAAGTAACTGTGTAACTGAAACTGCCAAGACGCATCAGTGCTTTTTTTTTCTTTTTTGATAGCACTTTAAACGGAGAGCCCAGTGATCGGTGAAAACAGAAAAGAAAGAAAGAAAAAAACGAGCATATCATCTTTTTGGTATACTTTTTTATAACAAACGAAGAGAAGTCGACGATGGAACTGAAAATTTTGTATCCTTTTTGAGATTACTTTAACGCTAAGCCGTTTAACGTTCAAGCTGTCAATCAAAAGTCAGAGTTTTATGCAGGATTTTAAAAAAAAAAAGGAAAAAATTATTGATTGAATGTAAAAAAAAAATCGATCAAGAAAAAAACATTAAAAATTTCGAATTTAAATTTTTGTAAAAGATTTAGCCAAAGTAGAGTATAAGTCTACTTAATATATTTAATATTATATATATATATACAATAAGTCGACGTTTTGGTCCAGGAATAATCTTGCAATTGTAAATTCCGAAAAATTTATTATTTATATAAATATATGTTAAATCATACCAATATCTTTTATAGATGCTCAAGATAAGATATTAGATACGTATGCGGTATAATTTTGTTGAGTTTGTTTCGTTTTTTGTTTCTTATACATTTGGACGAGGACCAAACAAAAAAAATCAATATGTAATAGATATAAAAATTACGAGAAAAAATTAATTTGTTAATAACGAATGTTAATTTTAAGCAAATCAAATTTTGTATATACTAAATTATTATCAATCTCAAAGTTTCGTTTAGTTTATGCTATATAATTTAAATTACTTTGAGATTGATTTATTATGTGTATTTTTGTTTCTTTTTCGTTGTCCATAATATTTGAAGTGGTAATACAAACGTCGAAAAATTAAAAATGTTATGTTAATTCGCGTAAGTGTTTGAAGTATGATTGCGACAGTATGATTAACTTTCGATTAGAATTTAATCGCGTGATCGCGGACTGATTCAAGAATAAACGTGCGATATGATGATAATAATTAACGATAAACATACATCTATACATTGAAATAACAATTGTGTTCTAATTTCCGTCAGTATTTAATAAATATTGTTATTCCGATTGCGTATTTCGAGACGCAATCATTTTTTTCATTTAATTTTACATTGTCATTTGATCGATGCTTGATGGGTCTGTGTCACAGCGTTACATTTTACACTGTGATATTTTTATTATTTTTTCATAATAATGATATGTATAATTGCTTCCAAATATTTTAAGAAACCAGTACCGTGTCGACTGATCAGTTTGTATTTTCATAATACTACATAACGGAGTGAACGAGATTACGATGATTGAAACATTCCAAATTCTAAAATCATGCATTTTTGCTTTCAATCTGATCGCACGATTGTGAATCAATGTAATCTCGCTACTCCGATTGAGGGAACTCCGTATTATTTCTGTAAATTATCGCTGTACAGTATGGAAAGGCATCGTCATTCAAGTAAAGGATTAAAAGGAAATAGTATATTAAGATTATCCTTCTTATTATTATTATTATTATTATTATTATTCTCATTATTATTATTATTGTCATTATTATCCGAAGCTTGAAGACACAATTATTGAGTATACTTACAAGTTAGAAGTATTGTGTGATGTATCGTCTGTGTGTTATTAAAGTATTCAAGTAATAAAATGAAATAAGTATGCCCGAATTATTATATCGTCATGCCTATCTTTTTGGCGTGTCTTATCAGACTCCCAAATGAAAAATAGGAATGTACTATCAAAACTATTCTTATTTATTTAAATAAATATATACAGTTTATTGAACAAATAAATAATATTTCAGTCAATTCATGGTCCAAGAACACAATTGCACATCCTTAAATATCTAAAATCTGTGTTATTTATATATTGATGTATAATATTCTTCTTCCAAATCGTATAAATCCGCAGCCATATCATCTCTTAAAGATGCTAATTTTTGATCACACTCAGCTTGTTTTGTCCTAAATAATTTACTATTTTGTGCTATAGCTTCATTTACCGATGGAAAATCGTTGAGTATCAAATACTGTTTTATATCAGATACAAGTTTCATTAAAGATTCTCCAGCACGAACAATATTCGCTGCTCTAACATGCATTTCATAAGTATCCTGTTCACATTGTGTCATACGAGATAATTGGGAGTCGCTTTCTCCTTTGGCTAACTTTATAATTTCTGTAAAATAGTAAAAATAATTTAAAATTCTTATAAATCTAAATAATTATCGTTAAGTTATAGGTTAGGTTTGAAAAATCATAAATATATCCAATAAAAAAAAATGTAAATAATTTTAATTTAAAAGAAGATAATGAATTAAGAAAGATATTATTATATTTTCTAATGAAAAATTACTTTTTCTTTATATAAACTTTATTATTGCATATTATACAAAAAATGGAGGTTAGAAAGACTACCTTCAAAATTTTCAAGCATAGATTTTACATCTTCCTTTAATCTTGTAGTGTAAGATTTCAATAAAGCTTCTTTACTTTGTGGTAATGCTCGTTGTGCAGCCATTATTTAACACTAAAAATTAAATTTTATTGTATAAAAACGTATTTAATACGTTACGAAAATTCAAGCCACCAGCTAAATAGAGATTTTTAAATATGGCAGTGTGACGTTCATGAATAGAGGTCGCTGAAATCAGTATCAAAGTCGGTATAGCAGTCAAGTTTAATTCTCGAAAATTCATAAGCTGATTGATTTACTCTTTTATCTAGTCTGTTTTCAAACTGTTCAAATCGTTTCATGACTACCATCAGTTGATGCGATTTTATCGACCGGACGTCGATACATATATACATCAACTCAAAATCGCAATCATCTCGAAAACGAGTGATCGATAATCTTCTTGAACACGAGAAAACACGAGAAATCTCGAAATTAGATTTTTGACGAGATTATTACTCACAAGTGAAGTATAAGGTCGAATCGTTTATATATTGATTTTCTAGAAGAAACCTAGGACAGAAAGCCTCCCTATCCCCACTACGATCCTTGAAAACCGGGATGAAATCAATAGAAAGCTCACGCGAACTCTCCGTCTTCGGTAAATTCATTCGCACGCGAAATTTCACGGGGTATCACGCAGGGAGGAGCGTCGAAGCCGGGTAAATACGATGGAGAACGTAAGGACACTGTTTTAATGCCGCGTACGTCGCGTTTCGAAAGGGAAACCGAGAATATCAGGTTATCCCCTCGAAGTGCGCCGTTCTCGGCTTGTGAAATCTCGTACGAGGGTAAAATCATCATTCTATAAATTAGTGATATTCATTCGTAAACGATCAGCGATCAACGACGATGGCTGTGATTTACATAAAGAAAGTGCGATACTCAGCGTTGTGGTCTTGGAGTGTGTCGTAAAAAAAGGAAAAGTATAGAAAGTTTAAAGTTGTTTACACGAATAAATGACAAAATTTGACGAACATCGCGATGATAAAGCTTCTAATACTTTTAACATTGACGAAAGTGATCGGAGGTTCGTTACCTCCCGACGATGCCGACAATGTGTTGCATATCGGTGGCATTTTTCCGATAGGAGGCAAGGGCGGATGGCAGGGTGGCCAGGTGAATAATAAATATTATATTATATTATATAAATATTATATTCCTTATTTAAAATTTTTTATCTCGCATTTTTTTATTTTTTACCATATATTATTAATATTGTCTTAAGTACTATGCATCCTTTAACTTTTAAATAAAATTAGAAAATCTGATCTTTAGATCTTTATCTGATTTTTAGATATTTTGAATCAGATTTAATTTTTTTTTTTACAGAGACACTTTTTGTTTCAAGAAAATTGATAATAACTTCAGTTTTCACTTATATTTCTACATACTAGATGAGATAATTTTAATTAAAATTTTAAGTAAAAATGACAATATATTTTTTCTTTTCTTTTATATAAAATATATAAAAATTAATGAGTATTCCATTTAATAGGCTTGCATGCCAGCTGTAAATCTGGCTCTAGACGATGTTAATCATAAAAAAAATTTGTTACCTGGATTCATATTGAAGCTTCATTCAAATGATAGTCAGGTATATGAAATGTTTAATAATATTTTAAAAAAACATTATAGAAATCATAGTAGAAAAATTTCTTTAAATTCTTGTATTATTATTTCAGTGTGAACCAGGACTCGGTGCCTCGGTCATGTATAATCTATTATATTATAAACCGCATAAATTAATGTTATTAGCTGGATGTAGTACTGTTTGTACAACTGTTGCAGAGGCAGCGAAGATGTGGCATCTAGTTGTGGTGAGTTTTTTATTTAAAAAAAAAAAAGAGATATAAAAATAAATTATTATATAAATTACGATCTTTAGTTATGTTATGGTGCATCATCGCCTGCATTGTCCGATCGAAATCGGTTCCCGACGCTTTTTAGGACACACCCATCAGCTACGGTGCATAATCCTACGAGAATCAAATTGTTGCAAAAATTTGATTGGTCTCGAGTGGCAATCTTGCAGCAAGCCGAAGAAGTGTTCATATCTGTAAGACCATTCTTATGCAAATTAGTAAACTGGATTTTTATTCAAATGCATATTTTTAATATTATATATATTATATTTCACATAAAATTGCATTTAAAACGAGATATTATTATATTGTTATATTGAAATATCAGATGTGTGATAAACAGATCTTTTGTAATAAAAAGTTATAAATGAATCAAGTGTAGTAAAATATATATATATATATTATGTATTATTATATATTACATTATAATATAAATTATACATATTAACTTGTATTTATACAGAAGCTGTATAAAAATCCTCAGTTTACCTATTATATATTAATCTTCAGAATTAATATTTAAATTTTTAAACACAATTCAAAATTATTTTCTATTTTATTTTTGTTTTTCTCTGTTGATAGACTGTAGAAGATTTAGAAACACGTTGCAAAGAAGCAGGAATAGAAATAGTTACACGCCAAAGCTTCTTGTCTGATCCATCTGATGCTGTAAGGAATTTACGTAGACAAGATGCTAGGATCATTGTTGGTTTATTTTACGTAGTAGCCGCGAGAAGAGTTCTTTGCGAATTGTATCATCAAAAACTTTATGGAAAAAGTTATGTATGGTTCTTCATTGGTTGGTACGAGGACAATTGGTACGAAGTAAATTTAAAGGAAGAAGGAATTACATGCACAAAAGATCAAATGAGGCTGGCAGCTGAAGGGCACTTGACGACCGAAGCTCTGATGTGGAATCAGAATAATGACACGACAATCAGTGGGATGACTTCCGAGGATTTTAGGCAGAGATTGAACAAGATGTTGAAGGAAAATGGATTTGATATCGATAATAATCGTTATCCTGAAGGATATCAAGAGGCACCTCTCGCTTATGATGCAGTTTGGTCAGTAGCGCTAGGTATGAAATCAAATTACTATCAGCAGGGTCACATTTATTTCAAAGCGTATTGAGCTAATACAAATACATTTTATTGTATTTCTTACAAATAATAATATAAAAAATAATTTAATTATAGTTGTAAAACAAAATATTTCTTTTTTAATATTAAATATAAAAGATCATTGAAAATAGAAATTTATAAAGCTTTCTTATTCATAAAAAAAAATTGACAACAAATTGACTAAATTTTTTTTTTTATATTTATTTATTACTATCATTAGGAGAAAGAGGAACAATTAGCATGCAATTTGGTTTATTATGGAAATGTTAATTTTCATTTATAATAAAATGAAATATATATGAATTAATTGAAATAGATTTATTTAATTTACTGAAATCTTAATATTAATGATATTGTGTCTAAGATGTTCAACAGTATAAATGCGACCCTGAATATCAGTAATGATGGCATCAAGTTTAATATTTATTTATAAATTTAAATTCGAAAAGATTTTAATTTTAATATAAGATTCAAATTAATAGTAGTAAGATATAATGGTTCATTTTGATAATTGCAAAATATTCGATTCTGTTGTATATTAATTTTGAATTTGAAAATGAATATATACAAAGTAATAATAAGAATTTTTATAATTTTATTTTTTTCATATAAAAGTATTTGAAAATATCTCTTTTTTTTTCAAAGTACTTAAAAAAGATTCTTTAAAGAATTTATATTCTGCAATATACTTGATTCCATCGCTTGTTATTAATCATGGAAGAATTTTTCTCTCATATGTTTCCTGTTTGAACCGCAGCTTTCAATAAAACAATGGAGAAGCTGAGTAAGCAAGGAAAGAGCTTAAAAAACTTCAGTTATACTGACAAGGAGATAGCAAATGAAATTTATTCGGCGATCAACTCCACTCAATTTTTAGGAGTATCTGTACGTGACTCGGCTAAAAGTAGAAATAATATGCGAAGTCCTTTATTTCAAGTGGCGGCGATCTTTAATCGATCCTCGTATGTACTATAGGGATACGTTGCCTTTAGCTCACAAGGTGACAGAATTGCATTGACCCAAATCGAGCAAATGATCGATGGAAAGTACGTTAAGTTGGGATATTATGACACGCAAAGCGACAATTTGACATGGAGGAACATGGAAAGGTGGATCGGTGGTAAAGTACCACAAGATAGAACCATTGTGAAGACTGTTCTTAGGACGGTCTCATTGCCTTTATTTATTTGTATGGGGACTATATCTTCACTGGGAATCATAATAGCTGTGGCATTAATCATTTTTAATATATGGAATAGACATAGAAGGTATATTATATATATACATATATATATAATATAAAATTATAATATATTACATATTTATATAAAATATAGAAAATATCTTTTATATATGTACATGTATATGAATTCATAAAATTTCTCTATTTTATATTCCAATGATTTCTAAATTTGAACAAGAGTAGAATATTTTTTAAAATCAACACAACTTTTTCTTTCATCCAATATCTTTCTTAAATGTTTTAAAATATTAATGTTTTTCTTTACAGGGTTATAATGTCGTCACATCCTGTGTGCAATACTATAATGCTGATTGGAGTTATAGCATGTTTCGTGTCGGTGTTTCTATTAGGAATTGACGGTAGATTTGTCGCAGCTTGGGAATATCCAGCGGTTTGCCAAGCTAGATCTTGGATGTTGTCCACAGGTTTTACTTTAGCATTCGGGGCGATGTTTAGCAAAGTATGGCGCGTCCACAGACTTACGACAAAGACAAAAGCTGATCAAGCAAAAGTAAGTGATCGAAAAAAAGGACAAATTAATCGCGGTTGAAAATGTTTTAGAAAATTGTCCAAAATGAAACCCGATCGATTAGTGAATTAACAATTTGATTAATATTTCTAGTTTGTCACGCAGTGTGCCCGTCCCTGCATGGTTTGCAGATCCTGCTCGTATGACCCTCAACTTTAACATATTCTCGATTCTTTTTAGTTGTTCATGGCTAAACAAAAAGTTTCGTCCATACAGAAGAAAATTCAACCATGGAAGCTGTATACGATGGTAAGCGGATTGTTGGCAGTGGATATCGTACTGTTAGTCTGTTGGCAAGTGCTTGATCCTTTGCAAAGGAAGATGGAGACATTTCCATTGGAACAACCTCCGTTTGGTGATGACGATGCAAGGATTAGACCGGAATTAGAACATTGCGAGAGCACACACAATAACATTTGGCTTGGTAAAATTTTACATTGAGTAATAAATTTATTTATATTTCTTTAATAGGATTAAATTAATTAATGAAATTGATTGGTTTTATATTTTTTATTTTATTAAAAAATGTGTAAATGCTTTTGAAAAAATTATTATTATTATTTACTCAGATAAACGTATCATTATTTTTAAATTAGTATTTAATTTTATTAATTATAAAAAAAAAATTATTATGGATGTAGGAAAATGTATATTATAGATTGGTAAATTGGCAATTTTGTTTCAAAAAATAAATTTCATTAAGCGTATTTTTTCCAGGTTTGATTTATAGTTACAAAGGAATCATCCTGGTGTTCGGATTGTTTTTGGCGTACGAGACGAGAAGTATCAAAGTGAAACAGATCAATGATTCCAGATACGTTGGGATGTCGATATACAACGTGGTTGTTCTCTGTTTGATCACAGCTCCCGTAACAATGGTGATCGCTAGCCAGCAAGACGCCAGTTTCGCTTTCGTTGCACTCGCCATTATATTTTGTTGTTTTTTAAGCATGGCGCTGATCTTTGTGCCTAAAGTGATCGAAGTGATCAGACATCCGAAAGATAAGGCTGAATCTAAGTACAATACCGATGTGGGTATGTCGAAAGAGGACGAGGAAAAATATCACAAACTTCTTAGCGAGAATGCCGAGCTTCAAAAACTTATTGCCGTGGTAAGGAAATTGTTTAATGTTTTTTTCACAACTAGTGATAGAATCAAGTATATTGTAAGCAAACTTAAATATTGACAGATCAGATTCAAATATTTAATAAAATAAACATTTTGAGAAAAAGAAATTATTTTTAAATACATTCGAATTTGTATTGGCTTTATATTTTCTATAAATATATATAAAATATGAAGAAAATTCTAAATAAAATTTAGAATTTTAAAAAGAATAGTATTTTTAAAAAAAATGGTATTAATATTATAAAGAATGGTATTTCGTCATTATCATTACGTATTGAGCTTTATTTCATCGCTATTTACAATTATCGACAATCTTTTATCACAAGATTCATTTTTCTAGAAAGAAGAGAAGATCAAATTTCTGAAACAGACTTTGGCCGAGCGAGATGCGTTGAAAGATGGGAGCGGAAATCTTCCGAAGGATTCGCTGATAGTCGCCGATTTCGTAACAGGAGAAGGAACTTCGGATAGTGCAATCGGTGGGGGTATTTCTGTTTATACACAATCATCTCGAGCTTCTGCTTCTGATTTTGAGTTTTCAGGATCGTATTTGTAGATTCGATCGTGGATTTATATTCTGTTCTGTCTTTCTATGAGTAGAAATCGTAACGAATTTAAGAAAGCGGGACCTAAATGGATAAAAAAGCATATTGCTTCTTTCTTACGACGTTTACTTTTCGATCTTTTTATTAATCTATCGAATCACGGCTCGTATTTTCTCTCTCCTCTCTTTCTCTCTGTCATAAATTATTATTGAATGCATGTAAAAGTTTTAATTTCATTATACATGAGTGGATTATTTTAGAAAAACTAATTTATTTAATGTTAATTAATGTCATTGTTTTCGATGAATTTTGCCTATCGTTGTGATAATCATTGAATTCCTTTGTTGCAAATACTCGATTTTTGTTCATAATATATAGATACGTGATTTTTCAAAGTTTCTATAGATTAGAATTCCGTTTCGTTTTGTAAGAAACGAAATAAATAATCTAATCAAGTAAATATTTACTAGAATGCATTCAAAATTTATTTTATATTGCAATATGTGTAATTTACTATTATCATGACTTATTTTTGTGATTTGCCACAATTTTCTTGAATTTTTCCTGAATTGCTTCTTTTAATTTTTCCAATTATTGAATATTCTTATACAAAATTAAAAATGGAAAAAGATTTTAATTTTTGAATGCTTTGAAAAATCATGTTATGTCTGCATATTTTGATAAAAAATAAACTATATTTTATTATAATATTTTATATTTAGTAAAGGAATTCAATTGCTAATACAAATACATTAGAATGGATGAAAAGTAATCGAAAACAATAACGATTATATAATTGATTAAATAAATCATTTTTCATAAAACGACAATCTATTCGTTTATAACGAAATTCATCAAAACTTTTTACAAGTATTGCTATTTATATCGCACATCATATAAATTCAATTCGTTTCAATTTTGAACGAAACTTCGAAAGGAAAATGACGCATCGAAGTGGGAAACAAGCGACTCGTTTGCTCGAGACAGCTTTGTTTCTTAATTCATTGTTCAATGTATAATATATTGTTCGCCTTTTCTTGGGGCGATGCACTCTTTTTATGTACTCGGTGTCTAAACGTATAACTATTGAATGTAATGTATATAACAAGTCAAACTATTAGATATGCGTATGCGTAGTGAGATTAATAAAACATTCTCAATGTAAAAGTAAATCCATACGCGCGAGATATTAATTGAATATCGCTGATCACATACAAATTGTTGGCCTACAATTGTCGCGCGCCTCGTTCTCGTTCACAACGATCTTTTCGTTACTTCGAGACAGTCATTATTGCACAATTACAGATATTTCCGACTATTGGGATTTTATTATTATACAGATATTTGTACAGAAAAGTTTTATCGAACGAATATCAATATCTTGATTCAATCACATAAATTTGCATCTAAGTTCTCTCGAATATCGATACTGATCGATATTCGATGTTAATCGATATTCGATGTTGATCGATATTCGATGCTGATCGATATTCGATACGGGAATATCGCATAAATCGATTACGTAAGACGGACCAAACACTTCGTAAAATATATTTGTTAATTGTTAACTTTCGAATATTTTATGCAAATTGTGGAATTGTGGAATTTTGTTGGCGAGACATGTCAACGTGGCAAATGGCACTATGATTCGAATTTATTCGCGCACGGTTTATACGGGTCCAAAAAAAGAAAAAAATAGAGAAAGAAAACACAGAGGAAAGAAACGTTCTCATTAATTCGCGAATGTCATATTTATAACACGTTGCATATTAGGTGAAAGAAAAGGTGTTTGATTTATTGTATATTTGAATCGCAATTAGCATCACGAATATTTCGTTTGCTCTAGGCCTAAATTCTTTTTTTATATGATTCACGCATGATTTGCAACAAATTGCAGTTAAATCTCGTTAGACAAATAACCTGGTCGTTTCCGAGACAGCGTCAATATCGATATGTGAACCTCATGAAGTCTGCTCCCAAATTACGTATAACGAAACGTTGCACGGCACGCGAAATTGGTGTTTCGACAAAAAAATGATGTTTGTACGTGGATAACAAGATATTACACGCAAAAAACAACGTGCTAACGAGATTTAAACGCTTCAAAATGTTGCGCCATTCATAAATAATTTGGGAGTCTTGATGAGGTGGATCGACAATTATTTATGGCCAACCAATGTTTAATCTTTCAGATTGCACTTTTAATAATATAAAATATATAAATATAATGCTCCACTCGAATATCAATTATTTATGAATGGGCAAGAAAAAAAAATCTGTATGCTTATACCGCACAGATATCTGAAGGATTATCGTTTTTGAATTCTTCTTTTTAGAAACGGACCAGGTTGGCTGAACGCAAGAGCCTCATCGATTAGGATGACAAAAGCAATACGAGCATATAAACGAGCTAAAAGCTCTCACAAGGCAAAAAAAAGCTATTTATTTCTTTTTCTCTTCTAGTATTAAATGCACATATGCGTAATTCCTTCATGAAAGTGCATATTCTTATTTTGTAACCGCAAAGAAACCGAGGATCGTGTTTGTAACAACAAAAAATTCTATTCTATCGTTGCCGATGAATTATTTTATCACACATAGCGTAAGTCTAATAAAAGAGATTATTTCAATCGTGTGATTTTTAGAGAGGAATGCAATCATGTTTCTCTCCATTTTTAAAAGTGATTTAAACAAATGTTACACGGATTACTTAAAAAGAAATTTAAAAAAGGAACAATTATAAACGATGTGCAATTTAATTTATATTACGATTTAATCGAAACTCAAGATATTGTAACAAAGAAGATATTTAAGAATTATTTTATTTAAATGGAATGCCAAAGTTCAAACTTAAGAAATAATGAATACGTGAATATTAAAATAGTTTTAAATCGTTGAGTTCAGAAGATGTTTTACATTATTGATGAGATGGTAATGTGATTTGACTGCAATTCAAATTTTGTCTATACACAAGATGACTTATGTATGTATATCGTAGATTGAGTAAGCCACAAAGCACAACTTTTTCGTATGTGCATTTCAATTTCGTCACTCTACGTATACATGATATTTATAGAAAAATTTTACGAACGTTTCTGTTGAATCGTTTCTAGTGTAATTATTGTCGCGCTCATCTACGCATTTTTTACTGTACTTCTTCGACCGACTGTCGCGCGAATCGCGCTTGACTAAAATATTATATGATATAAATATACTAGTCTTATTGAACTGTTAAAGAAAGTATCATATATATGTATGTTAGAATATGGAGATATATTTATTTTTAAGTTTTTAAATTATAAAATATTCGTTAAAAATTCTTATATTGTATATGTTATTGATAACCTTGCGCTTCGAAAAAAGCGTTCGCTCTCGAATCGATCAATCGTTCACGGATCTTTGCTGTGTTACAATTTCAATCGCAACGCTGTGCGTTCGAATTTATAATTGAAAACGTTTATCTCGCGTGAATATATCGTTGTGATTTTACACAAGTTTACATGAAATCAAATGAATTTCATCGTTTCGAAATATTAAATGATGACACGTATAATTCTCAAAAAAAATACGTATATTTAATACATCATAGATCCATATGGCGATTATGAAAAATATGTAGTACAAATGAAATACAATTGTATTAAAAAATCAAATAAACTTAGTTACAATTTAAGAATAAAATTGATGCTATTATGATTTGGAAAGATTTAAATGAATTTAAATAGTTAGAATTGTCACGTGATAAGCAGTCAGCATAGAAACGGAAATTTGTGGCGCATGTCAGCCGCCATATTCGTTATACTTTCGCTTATACAAAATCAGAAGGCGCGCGCGGTAAATCGTGTTATTGTAATACATTAATTTTAGTTTTAATTTGAGAAATGTCATTTAGTACTGGATTCGGAGGAACAACTTCGACACCTGCTCCTGCATTTAGCTTTGGTGTTACAGCTTCTACTACGGCGACACCAGTGAAACCGGGTAAGTTGTCTACTTTTAGGTTAAGTCACATTTCGTTTCTTCTCTTGTTATATATGTTACTTTTTCGAATATATTTTCAACAAATTTGCCATTCTGTAATTCTTATTGGGTCAAAATGTATTAAATGTTTTATATTTTTTGTAAAACTTATTATTGTAGATATATGTAAAATATCAATTTAAAAAACATTCCATTTTTCAATGTGCTGCCTCATCACAATGCCTACACATATAAATATCTTGTTTTACATTACTATTTTATATGTTACGATTCTTTAAGGCTGTATTTTATTCGAAAAAAAATTATTGCAGATTTTTAGTTTCGCATAGAAGCACAACTTGTTTTGTTTGTACTGCTTGAAATCTTATCTAGTAAAGGCTGATTCATTCCAGTACATCCTGGTTCACATTCCATATCTTCTTTTCCAAAGAAAGTACTCTTTCTTTTTGATTTAGTTATAATACATGCTGTGATACAACATAATAAGAATATTATCAATAGTGCAGTTAACAAAGCAATTAAAATCGATGAATGACCTGTAGGTTCTTTAGTAACTGGATGGTATGGTTCTGTTACTGCTATTGCACGTGCAAATGGAGATGTTTTTTCAAAATGCACTAATTTAGTTATAATGGGAGGACTTGTATCCTCTAAATCATACATTTCACTTGGAATTTTACCCATTGTTGTTAACATAACTTCTGCTGTAACATCCTTTTATAATAATAAAACATATTATAATTTATATTATAATATATACATATATAATAAAGATATATACGATGATATAAATAAAATAACAATAAAATATATATTATATGTAATTCTTAAATATAAATTATAAAATTAAAAAAATTAAAAATACCCCAATTGCTACATCTGTTGTACCAAATTCATGTAACAATTCAGTAGACACATCTGAAGATTGATCATCGTGACGAAGTACAACCTTCTTATTAGACATCGAAGCTAGTTTTATTAATTTATGAGCAAGTTGTCCATATTTTCCTTCCTGCTTGTTTAAAGAAATGAAATTTTTGCATATTTTGCATATTTTATTCTGTTAATAACCTTACCTGATTTCCATTTAAGTATGACATGGTTTAAGATTTCGTTTTTTTATTATATTATTTATAATATCAAAAACTTTTTAATAATATGGAAAAATATGGAAATTATAGGATATTTTTTATGTATTTGAATTATTTGCAATACGCGTTATTAAATTCTATAAATAAATAAAATGCAAATTATTATCGCGATCGTATGCAAGGCATTTCTATCAAATACATATTAGTTTTTCTATTTGAAGCAATTTCAAATCAATGAAAACAAAAATCAATTTTTGAAAATTATAAAACTTCACACTATACATTTATTATTTCGTAATGCGCTTATTTATCGCAAACGCATTGTTTAAATGTATACATATATATTTTTTTTTAAATGTGTATATAAATAAATTTATATATACATATATATAAATAAATATAATATATATATATATATATTAATAGTTTTTTCGTATATGAAATAAATATCTTTTAATAATTGTTATTAAATATCAATATAAAGTTGTCATGTTTTGTTTATTAAATTTATATTCCTCATTTGGAACTTAATATCTTAGCAGGATTTGGAACTTCATCTTTTGCATTTAATACACCATCAACCTCAGCACCCAGTCTGTTTGGTTCTTCTTCGACTCCAGCAGCAGGAGGATTTGGAAGTGGTGCTACTTTTGGATCACCAGCAGCCACTGGTTTTGGTAATACATCAACAAGTGGTTTTGCTTCTGCACCTACATTTGGTGCCACTTCTACCACTGCTTTTGGAACTACTCCAGTATTTGGTAGTACACCTGCTTCATCAGGCACTGCATTTGGAACTACTTCCACTTTTGGTACCACACCAGCCTCCAGCTCTGGCTTTGGTACATTTAGTGCCAATACAACATCTTCTTTAAGCTTTGGTGGTTTCAGTGCATTTGGAACTACAACAACCACATCAGCACCTTCCTTTTTTAAAGGATTTGGTACTACAAATACAGCTCCAACTTTTGGTACATCTACAGCTTTTGGTGCTTTTGGTACAAAGCCAGCAACTACAACATCTACTGGTTTTGGTGGTTTTGGAACAGGTGAATATTAATCAAATCATATTTTTGATTATCTTATATTTTTATATATAGCAAACTATTTTTGCAGGCACAGGATTTACTGGTTTTGGATCTGGTTTATCGCAAACACAGCCCCAGTTTCAACAGCAACAACAACAACAACAAACTGCTAATACTTTATCCGAAGCATTATACAATGCTGTATTTAATTGTCAATTGTATAATGATGAACGTGACAATATTATTGCAAGATGGAATCTTATACAAGCTTTGTGGGGCACTGGAAAAGCTTATTATTACATGAATGCACCACCTATTGAACTTAATCAAGAAAATCCACTATGTAGATTTAAAGCCATTGGATATAGTCGAATGCCTGAAGCTGACAATAATGATGGTCTTGTTGTACTTTGTTTTAACAAGAAAAAAAAAGATGTCAAAGAGGGAGAAGTACAATTGATCAGTTTTATGAATAATATTTTGGGAAATAAACCCAATTTAACGCTTACAATAGACAATATTAAATCAACTGGAGAAGATAAAAGTCAAGTGACCATTTTTGTCACTGAGAAGGGAATTACAGGAGCTCCAAGAAAGATTCCTGCTAATGAATTAGTTACATATTTATCACAACCAATGCAAAAGCAACAATTAATGCAAAATGGTGTAGAAGATATATTACCTTTAGTCAAATTAGATCCAGCACAACTTAAAGAATATTTAGATAATCCACCTTGTTCTATTGATTTACGATTGTGGAAACAAGCTCAATTAGATAATCCTAATCCAGAGCTTTATATACCTGTGCCAATGATTGGTTTTCAACAAGTTAAGCACAGACTAAAATGTCAAGAAGAAGAAACAACAAGACATAGAAATTTTCTAGATATGGCAGCTGAAGAAATACAAAGATTACAAAGACAACATATGGCAATACAAGCTAGACTAAAAGAACATCGAAGAACATTATTAGAACTTCAACATAGAGTATTACAAGTATATAAATATATTTTCTCTGATGATTATTTTTTATTATATATATTTTTTTTATATATTTATGTTTTATTTATATATTTTTATATATTCAAATATTTTTTAAGGTACTTGTACGTCAAGAAATTACACGTAAAGTTGGATTATCTTTACAACCTGAAGAAGAAGTTCTAACGCGTAGGTTCGAAGCCATGCATTCTCAAGTTAGCGCTCCAACTCAATTCAAAGGTAGAATTAGTGAAATGCTTTCTCAATTAAGAATGAGAAATCATATAGACACTCACAACCAAGAAAGGTATGCAATGGATCCTATAGCTCAAGACGATATAAAAACGGTATGTAAATATATAATAAAAATGATAAAAAGTAATGAAAATAAAAGTATACATAATCTATGTTTCCTTTTTTATTAGTATTTAACAATGGAACAACATGGTATGGCACAACTTATAGCAACAATAAATTCTGATTTGGAAAGTTTGAAAATTATTAAAGACGGAATGTCTGAAATTCTAATGAGTCATAATATATCGTGAGAGTTATATTTAATATTACAAATTGTTTGTGTATTTTTATGAACATAATTGGAGTGATAATTAATATTATTCCGACAACAAGTTTGCAAGAACTTAAGTGGAAGCTGCAACTGCAAATAGAGGTTTTTTTATCTCTGTAAATTGACATATTTATATTGAATTTACTTCATAAATGCAATTCTTAACTTTTTTTTATTAAAAATTAGGCATATCTATTCAAAAACTTTATTTTGCTTGAAAATAAAATTATTATAATTTTTTACGTATTAAATAGTAGCGTTTAATAATGATCGTTAATAAAATCAGTTCGAAGAAAAGTTCTTATAACAAGTTGTCGCGAGGTTGTATTATATTCTTCCATCAATGTTATTAAAATGCGTTTGTAATATTTCTTATATCGAAAGAAAAGTGAAATTTGTTATATGCTGAGAAAAAAAATAAACATTTTTTATATAAATAATATTTTTTATTGAATAGTTTAATGTCATTAAACACACTCTTTTCATTGCAGAAACGTTCATACTTTTCTTCATGAATACCTTATACATAATACATCTTTATATACATATGATACATAGATGTTGAATATAATATATTGGGTAATTTCTTTCAAACTCATTATGATACAGCTACGTTTTCAACCATATTAATATTTTTTGAAATTTCCATAAAATATGGTAATATTTTACATCTTTTTTTCTTTTATTTTGTTTGTTAAATTTGGGTTTAACGTATGTATATACAGGTTTCGACAATTGTTTTATTTTGAATTGATCGAATTACCCGTAAACTTATATCTCAGATTTTTTATTATTAACGAATTAAGATTGAGCAAATCTTATTCGATATCAAACTTGTTTCTGCTTTAAGATAAACATTAATGTATTACAATATATATTTGGCTTCACAGTCTAACAAAAACGGACAATTTTTTTTCATCTTTTCGGTACGTATCAATTCTCATCTTCCTTGATTTTTATTAAAAAAATTTCTTTAGTGATCAGCGAATTGAATATACTTT